GTAAGCGATTTACATCGCAACACAGGCAACTCTTTCCTTGTTGAATTGAATTGATCCGCAACAGCCTCAAATCCAAGGTAATGATTCAAGTGATCACTTTGATAACGTGTAAGGAGATTCCGGTCCGTTGAGGTGCGGGGTGTGCTGTGTTGCAGGATTATTAGGGAAAGATGTAAGGAAAGACACGTAAGTAAGGAAAAGTCTGTTGCTGTTGCCACTTGTGGTCTCTTGAAAGGAAAGTGAGGGGATCATCACGGCCGGTCAACCCAGCCTTCAACCCGTATTCTTAGTGTGTTCGTGCTGACGAAGTTCTCTAGGGCTTTGTTGGGCGTTGCCTTCGTCATTGCATCGGCCGGGTTGTCGTTGCCATTAATCCACCGTATCTCGAAGATCTCCTTGCGCTCGTATGACTGCCGCAATGCCATAATATCGATCATGAGGCGTTTCTCCTTCGTCGTTCCAAGCTTCACGAGGCATTCGTATAAAGAATAGGAGTCTGTACACACAACGAGATGGATGTCAGGTATGCCAAGGCGTTGGGTGATGATCGCCAGCGTTGTAGAGATTGCAATCGCCATGTCAACGCCTGCCGTCATGCCATAGATTTCCGATGCGAGCACGCTTCGTGTCACTCGTTTGCTTTTCGTTGAGCTCCAGTGGATTAGGTTCCCCTTGATCGTGAAGTCATCGTTCCCTGTATTCTCGTTTGCTATGATGATCTCATATCCCAGCTGGGAACTCAAATCTTTGTTGTTTGCAAATGAGCCGTCAACAAAAAGGAATAACTTGGCATCTTGAAGGTTGAGAGGGATGTAGGTCAGCCCTCGGTCAGGATGATCTATCTGCCATTTCAATCTTTTATTTAGCTTAGATATATCACCTTGGTCGGGTTCCTTATGTTGTGCTGCGATAGAGAGGTCGAAAGCAGCTTCTGGTTGGCAAGTCGTGGCTAGGTACGCGCCTCGTGCTCGTTGTTCAATGTAATTTTGGTAGCTTTGTTCGCTACTGGCGTTGATCTGCTGGAGCCGTTTCCCTTGGCCCTTGTGCCGGAGGGTAATTTCGTCTCCTTCTTGTGTTATCACGCCTCCATTGAAGTTTAACGGTGTTCCGGGCTTTAGGGTCTCTCGTGCCTTTGCTCTGAATTTAGCTTCGTTGAGTCGCTTCTCTTCATTAGTCAGAAAATCTTCCGTTGCGAGGATTAAGGTATCGTCTGTTTGTACTCCCACAATGCCTAGTTCTGTTGGGTGCTTTTCTTCGCTTATCATTAGGCACGGGTCGTACGTGGAGGTCATTAGCCTGAGTTTCTCGCGATGATGCTTGAAATACGTAGCAAACCAGTGATTTCCCGATTCTGCGATGCCGTACAGCGGTTTTACCACTACCATTATCGTCTTTTCAGGGTAGTGATGCTGTATTTGCTTCGGTAATCTCGCCACAATCAGCCTCTGGAGTTCTGTGGTTGATTGTGTGTAGGCTTGCGTGATATCTCGTAGGGCCATCTGGAAGGCGTAGTCTTTTATCAATGAAGGTGCCAGTGCGAGAATTAGCCGTTGGCTCGCTCGCTGAATCGTAGGGGATTGCGTGAGGATAGCTTGTTTTCCATTATCGTTATAGCCTTGGATTACAAGCCGTGACTTCTCGTATGGGCTGTTTGTATTCTTGCCTTTTATTTCATTGACCATTCTCGATCGAAAGATATCTCTGCCGTGAACGTTCGGGTTATATTTCTCGAAGCGAAAAACGCCACTCGCAATCAGGTCATTGATTTCTTGTGCGGTGGACGCTTCAAATGGCTCGCCTTGAGTGGTTATTCTTCCGCTTCGGCGAAGTTCTCGTGATAATCTCCAGTCAACCTTTTCCTTGTTTGAGAGAAATGCTTCCACTTCCACAGTTGTGTTGTCTTGTGTGAAAATGAAAGTCTCAGCCCCATCAATCGTGCTATTGATGTACTGGTTCTTTCTTGGGCGGCCTCGTCCTGGTTGTCGCACAACTATCGTGTCTTCCACCTTGTCTTCTGCGTTTTCTTCTTCATCTTTCTGGGGCGGTGTAATTTCGTTCAGCGGCGTGTGATCGTCATCTTCTGTTAGTTCCGGTGCCGGGTCGTTTCTTTGCTCAATGGGGTCCCTATGGTAAGGTTTAACGACCGTTGCACGGAATTTGGTATTGCCGCTAGGCATTTCCACGATACAATCTTGGTTATCAACGGAGATAAGTTTGTAGGGGCCTGTCCAGCCGCCTTTCTCTCGCCACACTCGTACTTCCGAGTTCAGTGGAAGTTGGAGGGTTTGATGTGTTTTCGGGCCGTTTCTAGCCCTAAGCGCCTCTTGAACTTGGCGTTTTGAGTATAGCTGACGTACTTCCGTCATCGCCTTCCTTATTGCCTCCGCGCGTTTATAGATTGATGGGGAAGGCGGCGAGTTGTCTGTCATGCGAGGGTATGCTCCGAAGACGAGCAGCGTTGGAACTATTCCATCTGGTGCTGCTGTATCGTTGATTGCCTTGACAGCCATTTGTAACGCGAATTCTTCATTTATATCTGGAATCTCGTCGCAGATAATTTCGAAAGCTCGTCGGATTGGCAAGTGGTATCGTTCGACTTTGCCAATGGAGTTGTGGGCTTCCACGGGGACTTCTTTGACCGTGATTGTCATTGCCTTCGCGTTTTGACGGAATTCCATTGAAGCAAAGTTTCGTCCGGCATCATGAACGATGTAATCTGGTGGGCCTAGGTATGTATCGATCCAACATGCCTTGAGTGTTTCCCATGTGGTCTTTGCAGATACGTCGGGTAGGAATCTTGCTGCTTGGAATGATGTGGCGGCATCAACGATGTGTAGGACTGGTTTTCCGTTTAGGTACATCACATCAACGATGATCTCGTAGTTAAAATCGTAGTCATCTTTCACAGTGAACTTGAATCGTCCGGGGCTTTTGCTGTGCATTTGACATTGGTGGCATATCTTGTTGATTGCCTCAATCATCGAAATGTCCGTTTGATGTCCTGATCGTTGAAGGATTCGGTGTAGGCGTTGCACTGATGGGTGTCCAAATCTGCGGTGTAGCAACCGTAGTTCCGTTTCGGTGAGATGCATCCACGCCGTACTATTCGTGATATTTAGCATCATCCAAGGATGCCCCCATTTACGGACAATGGGTGTAATCTTGTCTCCTTGAATAAGCACATTCTTTAGATTGTCGAATTTAACGCCTAAACGGTCCATGTCCTGTAGGCACATTAGGAAAGGTGTGTTAGCCGGCACGATGTGAAAGGTTACATCGCCGACTGGTGTAGGCACTATCGCCGTCCCTTTTGTGGTCACCGTTCCTTTGCCAAATCTGACTGTATTGTTTCCTTCCCTTGGTGGATTTAGCGTTACATTTGGGTTGATTGATTGTAATGCTCGGAATTGAGGTTCTCCTGCTGTTGATATTCCTGACGCGCCGCTATCAGGCATAATGCCTTGGAATTCAACATCAGAATATCGGTCATTGAAGGTATATATGCCGTGTTCTTCTGTTAGAAGTTGTGGTGACGACTTTTCATCCTTGTAGCGGTCATCTCTGGTGAAGACGTGGTATGTTGCATGGTCTTGCAGCATTGGGAGTATCTCGTTGCCATCGAAGCTTCCAAACTCGGTGAAGAAGTGTTCCGTTTCTTCATCATCGTTCCAGTTAGTGCTGGTTATGCTAGTGGTTATCTCACTTCCTTCGTAATCTGCTAGGAATACAGTGAAGCTATCAACAGAGGCCAATTGTTGGTGGTATTGTGCGTGTTCTCTATACTTGCTGTATGCTTTCCTGCGTTCTTCGTCAGAATGCTTGGTTGACCAGCAGCCGGTCTTTCCGCAAATGTAGCATTTCTTCTGCTTGAATGTATTTTCAGTGTTTTGTCTTGCAGGATAATTGCTTCGTCCGCTGTTTCCACGACTTCTGTATCCGCCTCGATATCCTCTGCCTCTTCCGTTGAACTTTCGGTCAGTCCAGTATTGGTTATTATCATTGGCCGGATCGTTGTCCTCGTCATCATCGTATGTGTACTGGGTTTGCGATGATGCGCTTGCCGCGCCTATTGCTCCGCGTAGGTCTGCACAGAGGCCTTCGTATGTATCGGCTGGCTTGTGTAATGCAAGTTTGCACTCGTCGATACCGCGGCATGCGTTCACAACCGCCTCCCGTAGGTTGTCTTCTGAGGGGTATATTTCAGGCAGGGCTCGTTGGAGGAGTTGGAGTTTATCGAGCATTATCTCTAGGCATTCGAGCTTCGTTTTCGTGCGGTTCTTTTCAATGACTCGATGTAGCGTCGTTTCTCGCCACTCAGAGAGGTAAAGTTGTCGTTTTTCCGCAGTTTCGAAGTGAATTTGTAGTCGTTCTTTTATCCGTGGAAATGTGTACCCTTTTCCTACTAGTTGGGTAAAGTAATACTCAGATGCTCTTCCTTTGAGGATTATCGAGAAAGCGTCAATGTAATTTTCTTCTAATAATCCTACCTTGCGGCAGTAATCATAGAATATTCTCAGTTTGTACTCAAGGACTTCGTACACCTCGCCTCCATACTTGTGTTCGTCGTTGTTATAGATTTTCATTAGGTCAACAAGTTGCTTTGGTGTGTGAGGCGTGTGTGGCTTCTGCGGTGGCCCTTGTGTGTCTTGGCGCGGTGGTTCTTTGATTGGGGGATGTTCCAATTCAGGTTGTCTTGAAGACATTGGGGTTGGTGAATCGGAATCTAGGGGGTAAAGTCGTTGTGAGAATTGATGTTTTTCATCGTTTGGGTTCCAGTATGAGTCAAAGTGTCCTTTTCGGGCCATCTGATGGTCGATTTCCTCTTTGGTCCATTGGTGGTACTCCTTTTCTTGTGCGAGATGATACAGTGATATATGGAGCTTTTCTTGTCGAGGTTTTGTGATGAAAACGCCTTTACTATTAAGAAACTCCTTTATTTCGCGTCGTATGCTTGCGGATGCCATTGCAAAGTGGTCAGGGGTCCAGTCTTCAAAGTCTTCTTGGTAGTATTCCCATAGTTGGTCATCTCTCCACTCATGTGTTTTCCAGTCATGTAACCTTGCTTGTAGGTATTCGTCTACCCGTTGCTGAGCCATGTGTGTTTCGTTCTTTGGATCGAATGGTTCGTTTATTTCGGATTGTTCTGACATCCCATTCGTTGTTGGAGGATGAGATATCGGAAAGGATTGGGTTTTGATGAAAGAAGGGGGGTCTTCTTGACGGATCGTAGTACCCTCGATATCAGGCGTACGAGCGATAGGGGGTTCGGCTAGATCGACGTGAAGATCGTTGTTCTGTGTGATGGACACAGCTCAATTGTATCTGTGGTGTTGCTACGCAAGAGCACAGGACTTTTGAGCTTCAATGTAGCATAAAGCTGTTATCGGAGATGGACTTTTTAGGTCAGGAAATCCTCTAACCAAGACGATGGATCACGGGGATCAAAGATCTTCTTGTGGCTTTATCTCTTCTGTTGAAACTTGCTGTTCTGTAATCAACGTGTGTTGACGACTGATCAGTGTCGGTTCGCAGGGGGTAATCACTAGCTACTGCAGTAGTCATATGATCATTGTTCTTCTTGTTCTTCTTCTATCTAGAGCTTAGAGCTATCAATGGGAAAGGAGGTGCTGTAATCTTAGTCACGTGCACCTTTACAGGGGAAGGTGTTGTCAGGGGTAACTAGGCTTGAGCCCGTAAGCGATTTACATCGCAACAGAGACAAATGGAACCACCAAGGCACTAAGCACTTGGCTAAAGATTGACGAG